CCCCTCAAATTAACGTGATCGAGGCCGATAGATCGGTGCGCCGATCGATCGGTGCACCCCTAATTTTTAAGTATGCCGTACATGTAGACTTTTCAGTTGCGGTTTGAGGATTGTGGTGCATTTTTAGTGTTTTTTTTTTTTTTTTTTTTTAAAAGAGGATCGATCAGTTAGTTTTCAGTACCACCTTCAGGCCTGCCTCTTCAGAGACTGTTAGTTTGGGGCATTGGACCGAACGTCTCCACTACACAATGCTGTATGAAGCGTGATATCCTTAACGTAGGTCAGTAGTTCTCAATCCTGTTCCTAACCCTAGCCCATGCTGCTGTTAACCTGTTACATTCATTATTAGCCTATTAAGGACCATATAAGCCTGATTAAGGGAGGGTTGAATGAAAATGTTATGCCGGGGGGGGGGGGGCCAGAACCAGCATTGAGAACCACTGGTGTAGGTGAAGTCATGTAGAAGATGACTTGGATGTCACATCATTACCGGCACAATGCTGCCCGCCCAGACGTACCCCTCCTCCCCCATCCTTAATATCTGAGGGCCATTAGCAGAGATAAAGAGCCGATCTCTCCCTCATGGCGGTGGGACAGTTGACAGAGGCGGGGGGTATTACGCAAACTGTGCCGTAATTGCCTGTTTCAGTTGAAATGTGTTTACTGGTGCTGGGGGGGCACTGCAGCACTGGAAATGTAAGGAGCTGGTCATGTCAGCTACAGAGAAACCCGAAAACTGTTTCCCATGTCCTTTTCTAGATCTTGTCTGGGTTCTTTTCTCGAACCCTAATAAAGTCCTAGTAAGGTCCTAGTAAGGAAAGAGTTAAAATAATTCAGCATTCTCATCGTTTGGTTTGGTTAGGGGAGGCACAGTGACACTGTGGTTTACACTGCTGCTTCACACGCCCCAGAGACCGGGGTTTGAGCCTCTGCTCAGTGTTGGAGTTCTCATGTTCTCCCTCTGCTGTTGTGGGGTTTCCCCACAGTCCAAAAACAAACTGTCCGTAAGTATGAATGTGTGTGTGCCCTGTGATGGGTTGGTGCCCCGCCCTAGGATGGTCCCCGCTTTGTGCCTGTAGCTTCTGGGATAGACTCCAGACCCCCCTGACCCTGCACAGGACAAGTGGGTACAGAAGATGGATGGTTTGGTTGGTAACTGATTGTAAGTATCCTGTTCTTGATTGGTAGAGTCAAACCCTGGATTCTCGGATGTGGTAATTGGTTGGCTTGTTAAAAGAAATATCTCAAGGAAGAACCTGCAATGTGATTCGCTGCCAAGTTTACTTCTGTGCAAAACTGACTGCTAAGTAAATAAATGTCAAGAAAAATATGGAGCCCGAGTCCGTCCCCAGAGATCCAGCCGTGATCCTTTTTTATCGCTCGGATATGTGCATCCCTTTCAAAAGCAGGGAAGATGTCCGCCTGTCTTTGTAGAGCTCCTGAAAACATCTGCTCCAGCAAAGACAGCCATTCTGAGCAGCTTGTGCTGCCCCAGTCTCAGAAACAATGGGGTTGTGCTGTGATCGGAAGGTCGGTGGTTCAAATCCCCGAGTCAGTAGAATGATTTAGTCCCTTAACCTCTGATTAAGGACTGGTA